TATGTCTCTTTGCCCAATTCATTGTAGCTACTGAAAATAAAAAAAATCGTAAATTGTCGAATAAATTGTTATTCCCTGTTAAAATGCAAGCTTAAACTTTAAAGTTTAAAGTTTCATTTACTTTTGATGTTCATCCAATTTGTGGTTAATTTCTTCCGCATTCTTCTGTTCTGCAGAATTAAAAAAGAAGTTGAAGTTGTCTTTAGATCAAAGCTCACGGCATATTCACCTTCGCGAATTTTTTGAGCCATTACATTTTAATTTCGAAGTATTTCAATTTAATTACAACAAAGCCTTGAAAATTATGCTGAAAAATTCTAACACTAAGATCCTCAATAAATCAAATTATAATTGCTAAAAAGGCGCTCGAGTAGAGCATCTAATGGTGTTGAATAAATTTAATTTATAATTTTGCAGCACACCTTAATTGAATTTTTTTTTCTTCTCTCCTTCCTTAAGCAAACTTCAGTCGTCTAATAATTTCTTGTAGAAGCTGTAAAGCCGAATTGTGAGCAAAAGCAAGGTCATCTTATGAAACTCGTCGCGATAATTAAAGTCACAGATGCTTGTGGACATGATAGATCCATTAACTCCTCTATAGCTACAGCTACTTTTTGTTGCCTGAAACCGGCTCGTGAGCAATCAGAAATGATTATAAAATAACAATTAAGCTAAGCTTACAATCGAGAAAATGTTTTTTTCATGGATTTTAAACTTTCTATCTTGCTTTTATTGTCTCATGAGAGTTTATTTCTCTACTTTTATGAACTACACAATCGAGATGGAAACTTTTCAGTTCAAACGGCGATGGTTATGCAAAAGCACAACAGAAACAGCAGCAAAAAGCAGAAAAGTCTTCTCCTTCCTTTTACTTAGATATTTACTTATTTGATTCAAAACTGAACCCAAGCCCAAGCCTAGAAACGAAGAAGTAGAAGGCAAAGGCAAAGATATATGGACGATGAACGAGACGACGCTGAGATGTGGGGAGAGAGAAGGCAATCAAAAAGATATTAAAAATTATCGGAATTTAGAAAAACCATAAAGCCGAGGCAGAGTTAAAGGCAAAGGCAAAAGCAAAAGCAACTGCTGCAAATTCACATAAGTATTCATATTCGTCGAGTGATCATGTTTCTCGCTCTCTTTTCTGTTCATTTTCATTCATTCATTCATACACGGTGCGATGCTTAATAATCGAACATGGGAATTGTGCAATGTTTGTGGTTTTTCAGAGTTTCACAAATTTTTCTTCCATCTTGTGACTTATCGGGGATATGTCATTTATGAACAGACCCTTTATGAAGCACCCGAGAATAAATATCTTGAAAATTAATCATGATTACCAAACAATTCAGCAACAATAAAACGAATGGCAAGTTTGTGTTGTGTCATGAAGAAATGTTATTGTAGCGANAGTTATTACTTGTTTTTAATACCTTTTTGCGTCTTTTAATAATGAAACTTTGATAATTATACATTCATCTCACATCGAAACAAAATCCTCTTGAGTAAAATCTCATTTAAGCTGCTTTTGTTGTTATAACAAAAAAGCAGAAGACTCGACAACAATTTCTTAATCTAATTAATTTTGTTTCTCTTATCTTTGACTTCGAGCGTTTCTTATGATTTTCAAGTTCGTCCTTTTCGCAATTTTCTATCCTTAAATTTCATTCTCACCCCCATTTGTATTTACCTCTCTAGAAGGTTAATTTGCCGCTTTTGCAGGTCGGAATTCCATCACGATTCTAATTCCGTTTCTGCTTTTCCACTTCACTTTTATCACTTCAGATCGTTAATGTGCAAATAGAGTGACGATAAAAGCTAAATGCTAGGAGGTGAATAAAAAAGGATGAATTCTCATGACGAGGGTCAGCGTGCACATCACATTCGATTTTCCATAATTTCGGTCTCGCACTTTGCCATTCCCATAAAGTCACCTACATGTATGGATGTACGAAATAGAAATGAGAGCATCGTTATTGATTATTGGCAAGGAAAAATAAAACATAAATCAGGACTTGCCCCTGCATATCATGTTATTGCCTTTCAAGCCTCTAAGGTACTTTATTTCTATTCCGGATCGTAACTGGCAATCTCATGTGTACAAAAACATATAAAAAGAAACCAAACGAAGAAGGAAAAAAATCCCTTTTCGATGAAATTATGGAACAAGGTTTAGATACAAGTTGTAGTGGGGAAAAATGGTCAAAACACGGCAATATTTGGAGAATTTAGAAGTGTGGGGGTGCAAATGGATAAAGTTTTTGTTTTAAGGTCAATTGCTGCACTGTTAAAAAAATAAATGTTGAACTTAAACACAGGAAGCAATTTGAGTTATCAGCATACGAGAACAGACAGTGAAATGATCAACTGCAACCAAGAGAACTCCACTTTACTGCTCTCGTAGATAAAAACTTTTTCATAGAAATTTTGCTTCACTCAAACACTTGAACTTCCACTTGAATGTTACAATTTTTTTCTCCGTGTTTGTGCGATAATGTCATGACATGTTCGAACAAACCTAAACAACAACCATTCTCACCCTACAACTAAACTATCAAACATACTGTACAAGAATTGAAACCTAATTTCACTTCTGCATTTTATGTTTTCCATGAAATTGATTATTTACATTAGTGAAAGGACTTTGGACAAGCTATCTGCACTTCCTGAAATGTGTCGAGTTATGAAAGTTTTTCTTTGCTTTGATATCGATAAGAAAAACTTTATCGGCACTTCTCTGGTGAGTAAAGTTTGTTTCAAACTTCGACAATTATTTTTCTATCTACCTTCCATCGAGCAGCTCTAAAAATAATTTTCACGCATGTTTGGCTTCGTTAATTACAAGAATCGTCTGTGGAATGTTTAGATTTCTCACATTTCGACGATAACATAAAGCAGAAAGAACAGCAACTTGACACTTTTTAATTAATTTTCTAGTAGCAAGTGTGATCAGTTTTTTCTGTTCTTTCCGCCCTTCTGAGTGCTTAACATGTTATTTTTGAGATCTCTGTCGCTTTACATCTGGAATGAGTTTTATTTTAAATGAAATTTCTAAATATTTAGACAAACCAGAGATACGATAATGTCTCAAAGTAAGGTCTTTAACCTGCTTCTTGGATTTAAGATAAAATAACAATTAAGCTAAGCTCACAATCGAGAAAATGTCTTTTTCATGGATTTTAAACTTTCTATCTTGCTTTTATTGTCTCATGAGAGTTTATTTCTCTACTTTTATGAACTACACAATCGAGATGGAAACTTTTCAGTTCAAACGGCGATGGTTATGCAAAAGCACAACAGAAACAGCAGCAAAAAGCAGAAAAGTCTTCTCCTTCCTTTTACTTAGATATTTACTTATTTGATTCAAAACTGAACCCAAGCCCAAGCCTAGAAACGAAGAAGTAGAAGGCAAAGGCAAAGGCAAAGATATATGGACGATGAACGAGACGACGCTGAGATGTGGGGAGAGAGAAGGCAATCAAAAAGATATTAAAAATTATCGGAATTTAGAAAAACCATAAAGCCGAGGCAGAGTTAAAGGCAAAGGCAAAAGCAAAAGCAACTGCTGCAAATTCACATAAGTATTCATATTCGTCGAGTGATCATGTTTCTCGCTCTCTTTTCTGTTCATTTTCATTCATTCATTCATACACGGTGCGATGCTTAATAATCGAACATGGGAATTGTGCAATGTTTGTGGTTTTTCAGAGTTTCACAAATTTTTCTTCCATCTTGTGATTTATCGGGGATATGTCATTTATGAACAGACCCTTATGAAGCACCCGAGAATAAATATCTTGAAAATTAATCATGATTACCAAACAATTCAGCAACAATAAAACGAATGGCAAGTTTGTGTTGTGTCATGAAGAAATGTTATTGTAGCGACTAACAAGTCGTCTTAGTTTCCTTTAATTCATTTCTAATCGGTGGCTTGGCTTGACTCATTGGGTAACACCACAGTCCATAGTCAGCAAACACGAGTGAACGAGAGTAGCAAAAAAGAAGAGATTCATCATCGAAGCACCACTTTTTATTGTCAGAGACAATGAAACATCTTCAAGAGGTGGCAAAAGCAATTTATTTATTGCGTAATTGCCATCTTTATCTCGGTGTTTCGTTTGGTGTCGTCTCTTCAACGTTCAATGACATAATTTTCATGTTTTTCATGATGGCGATGGCCCACAATAGAGCACAATAATCCAATAAATATCGGAACATTCTCTCTAAATGGGAATATGATTCGATAAATGATTTCAAAACAAAACGAGGAAGAAGAGAGAAATAAACACGGAAAGAAATTAATCACGAATATCGTTTGAATTAATTGTCTTGCTCGAATTCCCCCCAGATACAGAAATCCAAATTCATATTCATTCTTCACAACATTTCTTCCTTTTTTATTTGAATCGAAATAATTTTGTCTTCTTCAAAACATCGTCCACCCCCGTTGCCATCGTTCATCTTCTAACAGATTCCATCCGTCGATTTACGGTCTGTGATTCTTGCTTACGAATAAATAAAACTTCCCATCATCCACTTACTTATTGTAATTTTTTTATTTCCCAACTTCCTTCTGAAAATGGAAATTACATTTTTATGGCAGCTCCGAGGATTTTCTTGTCAAAGTCGAGAATAATTTCGGTTGTAGGAATTGGATCAACATCATCAGGATTTTGATATCAGATCAAGCCACTTTTCTCCCTTCTTATTATTTTTTGTCATCTTCAGAATGCATCACTAGTTGGGTCAACAAACTTCTCCACCATCTGAATATATCAAATGTTTCCCCCATCGTTTGTTATTTATGAAAATATTTGTTTTCCTTCTTGCAATTTTCCGATCTTTGTCGTCTGATAAGACCTCCAATTGCACTAAAGTCTTCCTAGATGGAAAAAAGTTCTTTCATTTCAGTTTTTCCAAGTAAACAATTACTGGCGAGAATTTTCTTTTGTGCTTGCAACTAATTTCATTACAAAAAAACATTATTTTATTGCTTCATCAGCTTCGAAAGGGAAGAGAATAAAATTGTTCCAGGTAACGAAATTAAGCGAAGAAGAAAAAGAAATTTTCCATCAAACTTTTCATTGCTTCCGGATAATTGTTCTCGTTGTTTTTGTTGTTCAAGGCAATTCAATTAATGAGATTTTATTGGGAAAACAACAGTTTTTATGCGCTCTCATTGCTTTTATCACCCACTTAAACAACACCCGAGCAACCAATCGACCACCCACTCAAACTCAGACCCCAACATCAACCAAAAGTGGAGATGAAAATGGACAAGAAAGTTCTTTAAAAAGAATAATAAATTAATGGACTTTCAATTCAACTTTTCATTCGAATTCTTTTACTTATCTACTTAGACATTTAGTTTCGTTCCTTCTACGACGATGTTTCGTTTCTATTTCTGGCTCATTTCTTCAATTATCTAATAGTTTTCCATTATAATCTCAAATAAATTAAAGAAGGAAATGAAAAGTTCCTTGATCTCAAATATGCGAATGAATCGAGAAACTAAACTTGAATTTGTCTTGAAGAAGAAGTTGTGCTGATAAATGAGATAAAATAATTTCAAGCAGAACTTTGAAAACATCTGATTCAGTAGGTTTCATTCCCAGGCAAAGCTGTAAGCTATGGATTGACTTGAATGCTTTTCATTTTACAGCGTTCGGAATGATCTTTTTCACTCGAATTTGCATTATTTTTCAACCCTAAAAGTTCTACCTTCAAAACTATTTTAAACAAATTTAAGTTAACTGCAAACATCCGAGCTAACTTTACATCAACTTCGTTGAGTTTTCAAACTTAAATACTCTCAAATGAATTGAAAACTTTTCTTGCTCTTTTAAAAGCTTTTTGTTTATCATTTTGTTCTTTGCCTGATGCTAACAAATTCTCAACTGCTCTTGACACTTAAACCCCCTAAGTTTACAGAATTATGTTATTTCTTCGCACTCTTCCCTCGTCTAACGTTGAACATGAAGCCGTGAGTTCATGCCAAGTCGTCGTTATTTCGTCTTTGCAACCAAGCGAACGTCATCAGAAAAAGTTAACTAAACATGAAGATATTTCTTCAACGAGGGTCATGACATGGCACGTTGCTTCTGTTTCATTACGTAACCTTTCGCCAGCATCTTCAGGATCATTAGGAAATATCGTTGAAGCAAGCGTCAGATAAATAAAATAAAATAAAATAAGCGCGTCGTCAGCATTTTCTTGTTTTGCAATTGAAATTGTTTCTTCGAATGGAATCTCGATGTGATCGAGAGAGAAAATATTTTTCTAATTAGTATGGTAATCACGCAAAATTCAATTAAAACTTCGTCAAGTCATGGATTACTTAATTTCTCTCTACGAATATTTGCATGTCAGTTCATCAACTTTCTGTCGAAATTTCCAGTTCCAAATAATTTCTAGAATAAAGAAAAATAAAGTAAATGACACGAGATGAATTTTATTTCAAGTTTCCAAGTTGATGACGACGCAATTTGTATGGAAGAGAACGGCAAATGACCATCTGGCAATCAAACATCATGCGAGCTTAAATTTTCATCAACTGCAAAATTGATTTTGCAATGGAATTTGTAATTTTCTCGAATCTAGTTCATAGTTACACTCATGGATAAACAAAACACTTTTCTATTAGTTTTTCATTTCAGAGAATGTCAATTGAATGAGATTTCAGTGACATGGAATTGAATGGGTGAGTGCGGGGGTCACTTCGAATAGCAGCAGGTAACAGTCATAAGAACTTTCGTTGTTTTGATGTTTAATGAGACAGAAAGTCAACAAAAACTCATCAGGATGGTCATTAAATTTCTCGACTTCCATTTGAATGAACATTTTGAGTGCAATGATGTCAGTCGATTTCACAATGTGATTGCATCAACTTCCACATTCAATTGCAACTTTCTATCCTTTCATTCGTCCATTCATGCTTTCATTAATCTATCCTTGCCTGAAACTTTACTGATAATTCTCTCTCCTACATCGATTGTGTAAATTAATGTCTGTCATAAGATTGGATGGAAGTTCCATNAGTTTCGTTCCTTCTACGACGATGTTTCGTTTCTATTTCTGGCTCATTTCTTCAATTATCTAATAGTTTTTCATTATAATCTCAAATAAATTAAAGAAGGAAATGAAAAGTTCCTTGAGCTCAAATATGCGAATTGTTCGAGTCACTCGAAAGATTAACAAAGAATGATTTCGTTATCAACATTAAAAGAAGGCATGAGTTGTTAAATTGAGATTTATTCAAATGATGTTGAGAATGAACTGCATAAAACATAAAAAGGAATCGAGAATGGAATTTCTTGGACGTTAGAAAGCTTTTAGCAAAATTAAATGGGTTTGTAAAAGTTTTCTTTTTTTTTATTCAAAGAAGCTGCGTTCGTTAGCTACCATCTGTTCATTTCACCTGTTTTGTTTGAGTTAAAAAATTCAACTCTTAACGAATCCACTTTGTGCGGAAATGTTGTGAGATTATAGTGAAATGAAATCTTGATGGACAACGAAGCGTGAGATTTGACGAGGGTCATGACATGGCACGTTGCTTCTGTTTCATTACGTAACCTTTCGCCAGCATCTTCAGGATCATTAGGAAATATCGTTGAAGCAAGCGGCAGATAAATAAAATAAAATAAGCGCGTCGTCAGCATTTTCTTGTTTTGCAATTGAAATTGTTTCTTCGAATGGAATCTCGATGTGATCGAGAGAGAAAATATTTTTCTAATTAGTATGGTAATCACGCAAAATTCAATTAAAACTTCGTCAAGTCATGGATTGCTTAATTTCTCTCTACGAATATTTGCATGTCAGTTCATCAACTTTCTGTCGAAATTTCCAGTTCCAAATAATTTCTAGAATAAAGAAAAATAAAGTAAATGACACGAGATGAATTTTATTGCAAGTTTCCAAGTTGATGACGACGCAATTTGTATGGAAGAGAACGGCAAATGACCATCTGGCAATCAAACATCATGCGAGCTTAAATTTTCATCAACTGCAAAATTGATTTTGCAATGGAATTTGTAATTTTCTCGAATCTCGTTCGTAGTTACACTCATGGATAAACAAAACACTTTTCTATTACACTGAAAAAAATTTTTTAAGTTCTGCAATATGGTTTTAGAAGCTGCAAATAAGTTTTTATTACTGCTTCTAAGACTTT